CCATGAAAATCCTCAAAATGATCTAGAAAATACCAAGGTTGCAAAGACTCATTTCAGCTAAAACAATGTTTTTCTAAATTATGAAATAATTAGATGTCATGATCAAATTTTGAATTGGTAGGATACAAGAAGAGGTTGCAAAGAATGTGTTTGACATATTAAACCTGTTTATTTCACTTCTTGAGAGTCACAATCAGCGATTTTTCACAAACTCACTCACTCACTCACTCAGCGATCAGCAAATCGCTGATTGTGACTCATAGAAAGCAAAATTTACAGGTTTTATGTTTCCAACGCATACTTTGTAACCTCTTCTTGTAAGTTACAAGTAAAACATGCCATCATACCATCTTTTGGTTTTATTATTCCGAAAAACATTATTTTAGCTGAAATGAGTCTTTGCAACCTTGGAAAATACACTGAAATACGCTTTAACAACACCAACATCGCTGAATCGCTAAAAGCTGCTGTCTTCTAAACGGTTTCAAAATACCAACATGGCTTATAACCCAAGTAACCAACTGACTGATATAACATTTGGAAGCCCTATATTAAACTTATATTACAAAAAGGACGATTCGCGTGTTATTATCGGGCATGGTGGTTACTTAGTAATAGCTATAAAAACGCCAAAATGGCCTTAAAATTATTAAAAAGGCCAAACAATGTTTGTAACAATCCTGAAAATACATTGAACTTCACAAATGGTCCTCAAAATACCAAACAAGAATTAAAAAAAAATCTAAATGGCCAAGACTCTTCAAATTGGATTTAAAATTCCAAAATGGACATGGAAACGGCAAAAATTGCTTCATAAATAGCACCTTACAGAGTCAAAAAATATCAAAATGGCGTCAAAAATGGTCCGATAATGTCAAAATGGCCATGTCTTTCCAACCTTATAACTATTAAATGGCCTAGAAATCACAAAGATTACCCGGAACGGCTTTGAAAACGTCAAGACAACCCTAATAACAATTGTTAATGTGGATTATCTTGAGAATACTTAACGATATTTTTTAATACATGACAAAGTTGTCTGAATTCCTGCGACCCACCTGATGGCAAATCGCGACCCACAGTTTGAGAACCGCGGCACTAGAGTATTCTCAAAATATATTCTAAAATCCGCTTAGAATTCGTCGGGCAAACTAACTTAAAGTCGATATAGTGGACTGAGAAAATGATTAAAATAGCCATTCCATCAAATTACAGTCGATGACCCCTAAAAAGGTTTGAGCTGGACGATTTATCTTTAAAATGTACTTTAACATATTCTTTCGGGTACACGACGTTAGGCATACGGTCGTTAGACACACGGACGTTAGGCATACGGACGCTAGGCATAATGTACGATAGGTATAATGGACGTTGGGCATAAAGGACGTTAGGCATAATCTACCCGATAAATTCCAGAAGGATGATAATGGATGATGACAACAAAAACAGAATCGTTGTATCGAAAAGTATGGCAGGAAATCCAGGAAGCAGCAGGTATGTTTTATGTTATTTAATGAAAAACCACAGAATTCGCCATTCTTCATTTCATGAGCTGTTCTTTGGCATCATATTTTATTCAACCTTAGCTGTTTTTTGTTATTGAATGAAAAATCACAGAATTCACCATTCTTTATTTCATGAGCTGTTCTTTGAGGAAAACCTTTTCTTCTTTGACAATTACAATATGTGTGTAAGAATATATTACAACAAATGTGTGATTTTTTTTTATTTTTAGATGTGATTGATTTCAAGATATAGTCAAAACTATGTTGAGTTTTCATTGCCATATTTATTAACCGCTATTGCTACTAACCTCGGATCTAAGTAAATATGTAGCTACGTCACTTACGATATGATAAATAATGGCTTATAACTGTGCGTATTAACTTTGATCATTTTTTATTCAACGATTAGCCTAATTTAAGCATTGTTTACCATACTCGAAACAGGTTTCTAGAGTTGCACAGCAGCAAGGTATTTTATGCCTAACGTCCATTATGCCTAACGTATTTATGCCTAATGGGGTAACTCTATTATTTCTGTGTTGTTTGGTATATTCTATTCTTAAAAAAATGCATGATAAGAGATTTTAAAATTCCTTGAGGATTTGCGGTTTTCCAAGTAGTAAACACACTGAGCTTACACCCCCTTCCATCGTAAAGTGTCACATAACATATGTATCACCACGAAATAAAAAAGCTTAACTGAATCCCTGATTTAGTAGATCGTCAGTTGTGTTTGTGTGCACAAGAGAATGCAGAGGTGAAACATATATTATATGAGAAAAGGTATCCGCAAATCTAACTAGTTCATGCAAAAAAAAAAACCCCAAAAGTTCAAAGTTACATACCATAGTGTTACACAAAAATGGATCCAATCTGATTATGCTTCTGCCTCCATCCGAGAACCCATCCCGCCATTTGCATATCTATTCGAAAGAGCTTTCATCCGATTAACCAAGCAGTCGGTGGAATGCAAATTCGGGCAATGGAGAAAGAGTGATGATGGAACATAATTTTTAAATGCGCTTGCACAATTGAATTTTTTACTGCAGCAAAGTATGACGCACCAATGTTTTTCCGACGTGCTAAGGGAAATGATCCAGAAAATAGTATTGACAACAAAGTTCTCTTCATCCTGCTACATGACATTGTTATTGAAAATTATGTCATACGATGAATTCAATTTACCTCTTATCCGTAGTGTGTATACGCATTCATACATAATCAATTAAAAAAGCCTAACGGAAATAAGAGCAGCCCTTCTGGCGGTGAGGGACAATAATCCTTTATGGAGCATTTTTACTACCCCAATATTAGCATAAATCTACATAATACCCTAACCTTCAACTCAACCATCACTGTAGTTCAGCTTATTTTCTGCATCAATTGAGCGCAGTGATTCGCCATTGCGTTTACAGAGTCATACGTATGAGAGCAATCTAGCAATCAGTGAGTGAGTCAAGTGCAGCCGGGTAAACCCTCCACGCCTACTGGTGTGCATAAAATTTTATATATGTCGCATCAAGCTCACGCTCACTGACCACGTTCCAGGGGTGAAGGGCACAAAGCAGGCTCTGGAGTAGACCGATGACAAACCAAGAAGCCGGAGAAAGACAGCCCTAATATCAGAGATCATCGTAAACTTTTTCATGGCCTATTGGGAGTTGGTGGAAATATGTTACCTCTGGCGGAAAGTTTTTTGTTGGAATTAATTAACAACATTGAAAAACAGCTATCAGTTTCGACATTGAACAATGTTTTGTTAGCATCTTTTATTTTCAATGTCTTCCCAAAACTGGCACCCGTTCTAACGGCAAAATAATGTGTTTCTTCAAAGAAAATCCTTGAAAGAAACAACGTCGGCTGAAACTAAAATTCCACCAAAGCCACTCAACGGCATTAGTGGGGGCAATCCCGAGAAAAGTTCCGTTGCCGCTGAGCCTTAGTTCGTTGGTCTTGTCATCACGCTTGGATAAAATTTATTTCCGCTGGAAATAAGACAAAAAGGCTTACCCACGACAAACTGTGGTTATGTTCAACGTAGAAATGTGATTATAGTTGTTCTTTTTTGAGTAATGTAGGAAACGAGAGAAGCCCTCGTCGGCAGCGATGGCGAAAGAAAATGTTTCTAGCTTCCAACCGGAAAAGGAGCGGATGGAAAAAGTTTTCCCCATTCGATTGGCGATGATTGATAACCGCTCAAATCTTTCAATAAAGTTGCGTTAATCTATAAGTGGACCACTAAAGGTAAAGTACCGTTACACCCGTTAATTAACAAACCACAAAGAACACATCATTTAATACCTTTAAAGCATGGAGACGCCGGGTAATTTGTTAGTTCTCTTTCAACAAAACACCCTCTTTACATATTAAGGAACATCCATAAATCCGAGGGCAAATTGTACAGGCATGACAAAACTGTTTCGCATTGATGAGAACCGTCTCCTCGAGCAATCATATAATGGAAAAGTTTTCAGGAATTATTACCGGACTACCCTTATAAATGTTCTTTCCGGATTGCGTAGTTCTAGTTCAAGGAGGTCAACCTGACACAAATTTTCTTTAGGCAAAAACGGCATAACGTTCCTTGTCATTTGCAACCACATAGATTTAAGCGAGAAAGCAGGAGCAGCCTAGGCAAGAAAACGAGGGAGCATGCAAATTTGGTCAGAATTTATTGCTTACAGAGACAAATGTTGCCTCCCGAAATGGAAAGTTATGGTACATTACTTTTCCTTAGCCTCCTGGACTGCACGCATCATTGGGTTCATTTCTTATCGGAAAAGTTACTTGGATGAACTTGGTTCAAACACGTATGATGAAACAGTTTTGAATAATGGGGATAATGATGTTCTATATCAAATATATTTTCATCAAATATGTTACAAAAGTTGTGTAATTTGTGCTCAATAAAAAGACGCATTCGTTGATTTATTGACGAATATAAAATCCAAATTGGCACATATAAGTGAACTCATAAAGCGTAATTTTGAATCATCACAATACATATTTCCAATCAGGTCACATTCCATTGCGATTGGACTTGGATTCCGTTTCAAGATAAAAGGCACATTCGTGACAATCTCCGGCGCTAAAAGGCTCACCGTAAAATCAAAAGTGGAGAAATAAAATTCATTTCATGCGTGCCTTTCGGCAAGCCGACTTGCATCAGTGGCAATAAGGTACCCAGAACAGGAACCGAGAAATCGAAGAAAACGGAAATTGAAAATATCCATTTATTTGCTTCCGTCGGCGGACTCTGGAAAGGTCATAAATCACGAATGCCACCACGATTGCAGTCGAAATGAGCGGGCTATCTTTTTGACAATTTGCCTCGGTTGCTTGGATGCTTTCAACGTGGTGGATCTTTCGCACGGCATGCTGTGTTTGGTCGGAATGCATTTCCAATCGGATGACTTGGGTCGAACGGAAAAAAGGCTCATTTGCTGGGAAATGTACGGTGAAATCACTTAAACGATGGAAGCACGCACTACTTACCTGATTTCCGAAAACGCCAATGCTGCATGCCGAGGAGACCTGATCCGGGCCGAACCACACTGCCGCTACCTTTGCCGGGAGGGACAGGATGAAAACCTGCGAGGCAGCTACAACCGACTGTCCGATGAATCCCACCCAGAAAAGGTCCGGCTGGATGGAGAAACATTTTATCCAGGCACCCAGACAGGTGCCCAATACTCCGCTGATTGCTGCGATTCGCAAGCCCTGTTGAATGAATACAAAGTAATACGCACATAGTAAGCAATGCTATTTGGGTTTAGTTTTATTTTATTATTTGATTACACTCGGTGTCCATTTGGTTGTATTCTAAACAAACCATGATAACGAGCGGCTTCAAAAAAGAAAATATTCATCATTCGACTATATGTTGTCTGCATATCATGATCAGTTGCCACAGCGTAGAGGGAATATGTTTTCCTATTTATTTTAATGGGATAAAGAGCTTGACTATATGGCGAGCGGTACGTGACGTCCGAATAAATTCGCTATCAGAAGCGAACGAGCGAGCTAACAAGCGCAAGGGTTCGTTTATGTTCTTCATTCGAATAATGTTTCCCAAATCATGGTACATAGCCAATCTTGTTTCGCATGCTACTTCTATAGTGCACGCTTTAGTTTGAAAAACGTGTGCGCGCTTTCAATCTAATGTTAGATATGGAATCTCGTTCTCAAAGTGCTTATGGAAAAGTAGGCGATCACCAGTTTCCTTGGTGCTTTATCCCTGGAATTTAACGTTATCTAGTCACTCCTCCAAAGGAGGAAAGTAAGAGGAGAGGCAGGTCAACGTAAAACATCATCAGCTGTTTCCACTGAATCATTAAAAATCTTGACAATCTACGCAAAAGAACATTCTCTCCGAAAAATGATCTAGATTGTGAATGATTCTGTCTGTCTGAGAATCACGCAAATTTATCCATCTCATGGTAAGTTATTGTTAATATTGTTCGGAAATGTCATTGCAAATTTACTTTAAAAAAATATAAACGGTATTTTTTTAAATTATTCAAAATAAATTTGTTCAATATTTTTAATTTGTTTTAAAAAGCTTTTCAATAATGCAAACTTTTGAAATATTGAAAACACTTAAAAATTTACAAAAATCGTAGAACAACAACTTTAAGTAAATAATTTGAACATTTCAATAGTGCAATATTTTAGTTCCTAGAAAGAATTTTATTTTTTTCTACAACATTGTTTCAGGCTGCTCTATCCAAAAGTTTTGAATATCAGATCTTGAATGGGGCCAGACGTGCATCATACATTTATTAAGGTTAAAATGCCTTAAATTTACACAACAATAAATTGAAATTTTAATGTTTGTCATGATAAAGTACAGTTAAGACTAGTTCATGATAAAAGTTATTCAAAGATCGTATTATTTTGATGTTTTTTGAAACAAACTAACTGCACCAATCGGCATAATAGAATAGTTATCGAATTTCCGACAGAAATACTATTTATGTCCCTAGAGTAAATATAATTGCCAGAGTTTATCAATTTTGTATAATTGTTCTTCAAGCATAGAATCATACCATATTTTTCTTGCAATAACCCTTTTGATTCGATTGGTGCAAGAATTAGTTCAAGCGGACACCGTGCTAGCACAAACGAAGTGACAGACGGAGTGGTTCGAAAACTTTGGTGACGAACCTGCTATTGCAATTTTTCAGTGTACCACATGGCAACACTACTACTGGATTGTACCACATGGCAACACTAAATGTACTAGAATGTTTTGGTTCTATCTCTTTCACTCTACTCAAAACTGAAATGCATAACAAAAAATGACAAAATGATACACTCTTTGCACACTGTCAAAGATCATTACACACAAAATCAACTTTGTTCAAATCAAAACAGAAATACTAGCCCATCTGGTGAATGATGGCACAAGCTTTAAAGAAAATTCTATTACCGTAAACCACATTATTTGAACTGATTTCTTCGACAGTTAGTCGTCTGTCACTTCGTTTGTGGTGCTAGAGTCATTTTATTAATAAGGTGTCATTTTGCCATCCAAAATGATGTGCAAATCAACAAGGGGTACTCCTTTATACAAATATTCAATACTTACTATTTAGGCACTCAATGCGCTCTACAAAGCCTAGCTGGCCGAGTTAAAATGGTACTAAAGGTACTATTTAGATGATTTTTTAAACTTTAATTTTTATGTTAGGGTGGCTACACCCTGCTACAGCTAACTGTTATAAAGCTAATAATATCACTTTGATGATATTTGAATCCTGAAGCTGAAGTTTAGTGTCCTTAATGAAATACTGTTTTAATCGTTTCTATGGCAATGTAAAATGATGAGTCTATGAAAAAATATCAGGTTACTTCAGATAGAGCGGAACAAAATCGTGCTTCAGCTTACAAAAGCTTCTTAGGGATACCTAGGAGATTCCAATTAAGGCTCATCTGTTCAATCGTGTGCTCCCCGTTGTTGACTCATAGGTCTTGCTCCAACCGAAACCATCCTTATAACTATTGTATGTCATGCTCAATTTGTCCGCTTCTCGATACAGAGCTGGACAGAGAAAAAAGGGCAAACCAACGAAAGTGCCACCGCCCGTTATCAGACGGAGTCCTTTTTGAATTTTGTTCATTTTTCTGTTTGAGGTATGTGAATAAGAGAAAAACCAGTACCGAGAATGGTATAGAAAAGAGAGAGGTTACGGTGTCCACAGTCAATTGCATATCAATTTAGAACTTCACCTTTTGGGAATGAAATTTCTACCTCTGTTGTATAGAATGTTACTGTCAAAGCCAATAAGCTGGATTATATTTGTCGGACTATGTCATGGATTTAGAGAAATTGGATTCCATGCATTTAAATTTGAATGATGTTTTGAATTTAGGTGAGTCTGCTATATCTAATTCACTTCAAAGGTTATAATCAACAGTGCCATTTTCAGTATTCCGTTAAATTGTCGATGGATCCTATGATTTTACATTCTATTCTGTCAGATATGTTTATTTTTCAATCTCACAGTGTATGCTAATTTCGAAAAATCGTAACTTTAATTCTTTGAGAACGAATACCAGTTTGCTTCCAACGCACAGCCGCAGCATCTATTCATATTTCATCATGGAACCATTAGGGCCGACAAACAAGAGCGGTTCGCTGCTAACGATGCAACGCGGCTGCAAATAATGGAGACTGCATGTCACTTTTCCCGATATAACCGAGCTCTGTTCGTGGTTTTATGTTCTATAATTGATTCTGCGGATTTACCATTGATTCCGAAAAAGGCATTGCTTTTTCGGATGTGTGTCCGAATGCGACGGCGCGTTTCTGGATATTGGAAAGGAGAAATATCGAATACATTTGGTCTGACTCTCTTCCCTCAGCTGATGCCGGATTAATTGAATCTTGACCAAGTGCTTATGGACATCCGGCAAAACGAGGTGTCTATTTCGGTGCCGGCGTGTGCTCTTATCAAAGCGTCCAGTCACACACAAGCGATGAATTTTATGGTCTGCACGTTTTGTCTATTCATTCTGTGCCGCTTACAACGGCAATCACAGTAGGCTGGCTATGTGATAAGTTCGGCCCTGTTAAATCCTTGTCATTATTCAATAAAGGAGTGCTGTTCCGTATTGGCATACTGCGATTACCATGGTATAGTGTTGCCAATGATCAGAAAAGCACTCGAAATGTGATAACAATAATCAACCGCTTGACTCTAATGCTCCGTCAGTTCCACAAACAGGCGCACTTGAAGGTGGGAACTGATTTTAGCCATAAATTGCACACAATCATCTCCATATCTCATTAGTGTTGGCCAATCTATGCTGATTGCAGACGACCACAAAGAACCAATCGAAATTACCAGTTTATCCAGGATCCAGCTGGCCGGAAAGATGAGCGGAATGTAGAGGATCATGAAAATCATCGACGTCCAGTCGACCCATGTGCTGGTAATGTTGTAGTATCTATGTTGCCCAACCGGAACAGGAAACCCCAGGGGTTGATTGCAGCCGACGGTCGGGTCATGGTCCAGACGGGTCATCACAGTAGATTATGGTGAAGGTGGAGATGACGTCCAGCCGTTGGGAATAGCAGATGAATCAGTGTGATTTTCACCCGGGCGAGGAATATGCAAATGCAACAGAAAGGAAACGGGAGTTATGTAAGCACCTTGTAAGCAGTATGCATGGGAATTAGCGTGTTTATTTATAGATTACCGAGATAGGGAGGATGTTACTTGCAGTAATTTATTGAGGGCAAATAGTTAATCGAATTTATTACTACCGATGCACTGATGGAAAGCAGGGACGATCCTGGACTGGGATTGGAACTTCCAATTAGGGTCAAAGCTTTCAAAATCTCTGCCAGGAATTTGAAGCTCGAAGCACGGGTTAGAGCAACCCTCTTCCATTAACATACGTCCGTCGGTGAACATGACGGCATATTGACCGCACGGTCATATTTATACCACGCTATGCAATGGTCCACATGCAGTTCATGCTCATACATAAACATAACCCCCTCAAGCACACCTTTCCCCATCTAGTCATCCTTTCCGAGCATCCCAGCAACCAAGCATCCATCCAACGGCTAGCGGGCTACTCACCTTTGAACTATATTTGCTATAATACTGTACTGGATCCACTGGAGTGAATTCGAGGCGGAATACATTACGAAGATTGCCAGCACCAGCCATCGCCGCTTGTATACCTTGAACTCTCCTGTCGTTGTTCGTTGTTCGAATTTTCCCAGTGTCGTCCATGAATGAGGTCGATGTTTGAATGGAATGTCGGAAATGGAAATGGAAAGAGACGAATGAGGTAAAGGTAAAGGTTAGTTTGAATCGAAACGTTACAGTGACTAGACTACTACAAGTATAGCGAGAAAAATCTATGATTTGATCGAACTGGTAAAAACACATTACCTGGTGGCAGGGCTGGTTTGTCCAATGTTGCACTGGACCCGTTGATGGGTGGTTTGATCAGATCGGAGGATTTACTACCGGGCATGTAGGCATCGGCCACTACCGTCACTTCCGGTACGTTAGAGTGCTTTAGGTCCATTGTGAGTGATGTGTCTTCGTTCAAATGAGAGAAAGAGATCTTCTATAAATCTATTGTCCGGTCAAAAATACCGATTTTCGTTTCTTCGTTCTTTGGTCTCCGACCGAGGAAAAGTGTTGAATTTTTCACTAATGGATTTTTCACTTTCCACTCCTTCAGGTTTTTCGAAATGGTTTATTGTGTTACGAAGGATGATGGGATAGGGTAGATTCTCTATGCGCTATAAGGTACTATTATTATTGTCATTATTATTGTTCTACTATCCTATTGAGGAGAATTGAATCTTCCAGCAAAAACCAGCTCAGCCGTTGATTTCTCACTCTCAGTCCACTGGATGATTGAATTATACGACCATTTCTGAGCGTATCGATTTGTCTGTTACGATTATTGCACCAAAAATAGACTCATAATCGATTGCTGATGCATCATAATGATAATCAGTTTTCCCCTTCTTCGTTTCCTTTGCCGATGTAGTTGTATATCCGATTTGTCGTCTTCGCGTTTCGATTTTGACCTCGTTAAATATTAATAAAATGCTATAAAATGTTGATTTATTCTACTTTGGCTTCGCGTAATTTCACGCGGGACAGACGACACCAGGATGCGGTGTGCGCTTTCAAGGATTTCTGTGCTGGTAGTGCAGCGCACTGCTAGGTGAAGTAGAAGGAGGAACAAAAGCTCAGTAGCTCAGTAGCTTCCTCTTTTGTCGTGTCTAGGCAACCACGGGAACGAAGCTCTATTTACAGCGCGATCGCGGTGGGTGGGTGTAGTTGCTGTTGCAGCCTTGCAGGCTGTGTGGCATTCCTGATAATGGTGTTTTAGACTTTTTGGTTTTTTTTTTTCTATGGTGCTGTGGATGTATTACGATGGATGCGCCAAAGTTTTAACGAGTTGCAATGTGCTGAAAAAATAGAAGAGAAGATGAAAATAAGGAAGATATTTATTACCGGTTACAAACGTTCGTTCGTCGTAGTAGGATTCTGTGCGTTGATAGGTGTATCATCAAAGAGAGTGGAATTCCGATTTGTGAGAAACGATTTTTTGTTGTAACTTTGAAGCTGTCTCAACATTTTTCCATAAAGGGATAGCCAAATGATTTTACTTTGGTCACATCAAAAACCTTTATGGTTAGGTTTTCTTTATTAGTGAGGCTTTTCAACCGCCTCCGGAGTAAAACCCTTTATGATGAATGTTGTTTTTAAGAACCTTATTTAATCAAAATTCTTCTTTAAATGTTAAATCATCTTCAGCTAAACAAACGTCTCTTCTTGAATGTCTGCCATGACGTAATAGCTATTCACGAACATTAAAATCATCGTAAATTTCAGCATTATTGTTGCTAATCAATCTCATATGTTATCCAGAGTGGTCAACGTAAACTGGTTTGAATATACACGCAATGTAAATAGTGATTGTGATTCGAAAATTTAGTTGAGGATTGAAGTGTGCTCTGCTTCTGTATGGACGCGAAAAATTTCCGACTGTCAAATTTTCGGCTTCATTAAATTTTGTCTGGAATTGATCGCGTTTTAGATTGAAACAATGTACCACTCGATAACATAGTTAAAGAAAATTACTTTTGTGCAAAACAAGTACAAGTGATCGGGTGAAATGCATTCCAAAGTGTTTTTTTTATAGGCATAATTTTTGTCAGAATTGTTATTAGGCGATTGGCAGGCAGGCCCGATGCTTCTGATCGGAGGCGAATTGTGCAAGAGTTTATTTGAAAACCCAATGGAATGTTGATAAATTTTGAGCTTGGAGATGCAGCAGTCTTTTAAGATTTTGCTTCACGGGCGTTGATTTGGTGAGTTCGTTCCAGTTTATGTATTTAGCTGTTCCGGTACATTTTATCGTTTTTGTCCTTTTTTGTAATTATCATGGGTTTGAAGAGTTTTTGAACTAGTTTGTAAATAACCCGGAAAGGTCTTGGAATAGTAATTTGTTCAACAGTAGTACAGCAGGAAAATTATTAAATTGAAGGAAATGTTTCCTTTATATTAATTAGTATGTACTTACATTTATAACGTATTATCATTATTTTTCTCTTCACTGAAATCTAGTTCACACTTTTTCGTGTTCAGCGGTTTTAAGAAGCTCACCAAAAAAGTTCGTGTGTAATTGTGAGTTTTCGCGAACCTTTCCTGCAGATTGATTAGAGACCCGCTTGTTCTCAGATTTTATACAAGGGAGGGTAGAACTAGGGTTCCTTTCTTCTCGACCCTTCTATTTCGCCATTTTCTTCAATTTTTATCTTTTCAGAATTTATTTATTTATTTATTTATTGTCGTCAATCAGATGTAGATCGTTTTGTTACAATAGTAATTACATTATTTGTTTTGTTTTAAATAATAATGAATAAAATGTTTCAATTTGGTTTTTGTTATTGTAAAGTCGATAGTTTCATAGTGTTTGTTGTAAGTAGCCAACGTTTGATTTAAGGGTCCAAATTTAGCATAATTTGTACGATGGTGGTGTGTAAAAAAAATTATATTCCGATTGCGCATTTAGTTTTGAAAAGAGTTTTACAGAATCAATACTACGTGAAACGATATTGGTTACAAATGAGACCATTACAAATTCACGACGCTCTTTTAATGTTTCAATGTTGATGAGCATGCACCGTGCTTCATAAGACGGAAGAGATAATTTTGTTCCTTCAAATTTACGAAAAAATCAAGTCAAGATCAAATCAGAATTGCTTTTGTACCGATTGTATTCGTACTTCATGCGTTATTAAATAAGGTGACCAAACTATGCTGCAATATTCCAGTATTTACCTCAGATAGGCAATCTACAGCGTTTTTATTGTTTACGGATCATGAAATTTATAGTTAAATCTATCAATAAAGCCAAGCATGTTGTATGCTCAGTTGATTATTGTACTCACTGAATGTTAGTTTGAAATCTATGATATCTCCTTAATCCCTAACTCTTCCACACTTTTCTACCAGCTGATTTCCTAAAAACATGGTAATATGGTGTGCGGCGTTTTGCGAGTAATGGTTTTATAACGATAAGCCATATAGGGCTAGGACAAGAGTTAGTGCTCATATCCCAACCACTAATGGAACATCACTTAACCTTTTTAGACTAGATGCTTCCAACGATCAATCATTTTTAAATAACAATACAACGGAACGTACGGTACGAGATGTCCACGTTTCATTCATTTATTGGATTCTGAATCATTGTCAATCAATGAATCAATCAATCAATCAATCAATCTTTGTTTTAAACAGACCTGATGTTTCTAAATCATCTTGCCCCTTAAGTGCTGCACAGTAGGCTTGGCAATTTTGATATATTTTGCGCATCTCTGCCACATATACCAAGTAGACAAGAACAATTATGGAGGTATATCTATCATTTTCCAGGATGCTTTCATCAACTGGATGTGTTGGTGTTTGATTAGATAATACTTTCTAACACCAAGCGTCATTGAATAGTGATGTTTTGTATCAATCAAGTTCTCTACAGACTCTCAACAATCAAAATAGTTCTCCTTAGTGATAGTAACAAGAAATTATAGGGTAGGCGATCCAGATATGACATACGTACCAATTATGCCACAATCCCATGTACGAAATGGTACCAGTTTTTGGATCAGGAAAAAACATCTCCAGGCCAGGCATGGACAATCATTTGCATTCATTTCGTGCATTCATTTACATTCATTTGCCTCTAACTTTTTTCATCAACAGAATTTCTCAAAATGATGTATGCAACTTTTGTAGGTTTTGCTATTACGTACAACTTTTGATAACAACTCAAATCCATATCTCTTATGCATAACGAACCGGAGCGACCAGAAGCCACTACTGTTTTTCAGTATTGAATTTTACATTCACTGAAAAATAGTAACAAGTTCTTCCCGCTCTAATTCGTAATGCATAAGAGATACAGATTTGAGTTATGGGCAAAAGTTGTAGCTAATAACAAAACCTACTAAAGCTCTAAACAGCATTTTGCGGAATGCTGTTGATGAAAAAGTTAGAGGCAAATGAATGTAAATTAATGTATGAAATGAATGCAAATGATTGCCCATGTCTAGTTATGGCTATTATTCCCAAACATGCTTATTATATTTTTTTGGCAGCGCAGGAGTCTACTTTGGTGCAAAACGCGCAACGATAGTAGTTAATAAAAAAAGTAATTGTGAGTAGTCTACAAAGATTTGAGTCTCGCGCACGTATTACGGATATGAAGGACTGAATTTTAAATTGGATGGACGATTTATGGTTTGAAATTATTATTTAAAGTTACTAGTCTGGAGGCGTTGTTCTTCTTTTTCAATAATTTGGTTTTCATGTAACATAAATTGTCATTTTGACACCACCTTGTACTGTTGGTTTTTCAAAGCCATTTCACAACACGTTAATGGAATTCAGTAGTTTTTTTCTTTGATAGCTGAGGTCTTATAACATGTGTGTTGTCAACATGAAAGTTATGTAAGCTCGAGAAAAAATACGGAAGCTCAATATTTAACGTGCATACTTTTGTAATACAAAAACCATTCGCTGGTTGGGACGCTTCTCCATCCTATCAACCGAGTATCATTCAATAGTCTGGACGGTTCTGAGGCTGTAGTTTTTCATGCAAAACAGTCCACTGTATCGTAACTACTTTTTCGTTGGGCCATTTGAATCATGTATTGACATACGCATGCCTCAATCTTGAAATAGGATATATATACTAAGATTGCAACGTCTTGTGATCTATTGGATGTAGGAATGTAACGGTTGACTGCTCAAACCCACTTCCTGTAATAAATTTCGTGCAGAGTTCTCCAGATGAGAAATGTTACATACGTGCCTTCTAGTTCCAGTCAAATTATAATCGAGAATCCTGACCTGCCTTGATTTATCGTTTCACTTCATGCTTGTAAAATCAACATAAAACATCTGTAGAAAATGGAATACTAAATGAAGCCCTACGCGGTGCGCCTGATAGAAAACATTAATTTAAAAAATCAGTATCGTTAAATCACCCACCCAACGAAAGCTTCTGTTCTCACCTTTCATATCGGAAGTATCGGAATATTCTTTCGGTTAGAATTAAAAAAAAAGTATTTTTTTTTTTATATCTTTATTAAGGAGACTTTCAGCCGTTGGCTGGCTCGTCTCCGAAAAAGTATTTTAATGTAAATCACGTTAGAGAAATCAAATTAAAATCCCCAAAAATTTATGAATAAAAGACCTCCCATGCAACATTTTGATACTAGCCTTACATTAAACAGGACGGAGTTTCAGAGATGCAGATTTTTCAAAATTATTGTTGTTCTACCAGACACACCTTGCTCATTGATTTAAAATTAAACATGTGGAAGTTTCATCAATAAAGGAATTATAATTTCCGCCACAGTAGGCGGGAAAGCATGTAAATATCACTTCGAGAATTAAACCACCCCCGTTGGTCCAGCATCGGTAAATTTCGTCCAATTCAGTCGTTTTTCCGCGGAAATCACCTTTCATTCGGATGAATGATAAGCTTATTCCCTGCTGGCAGCTGTTGTTATCCGATGTTCACCATCAATCAGTGAGGCATTTTTCATCACCATCAATCGATCGTCCGCAAAGGCTATACATTATTCAAGCACAATAAATTATATAAATGGTGGGCAGTGTTTTATTTTCAAAACAGCGTTTCTACCCTACTTACGCAAGAGCCATCGGTTTGTAGTGTAATTTAATACGATTGATTTATTCTTAGCTACCAACCAACCTGCTGAATTGCCAGCAGCCACCGTGAATGCGGTTCAGTTGGGCGGATAATCTGTACAGATGATGATGATGATGATTATGATTGTTCCCCCACGTGAATGGAGATTATCGCAATCTTTCAAAATTATCGATGCATGCAAAGGCGACGGTTTTCCTACATTTGGAAGGAATGTAACGG